TTGTTCAAAAGTTCAAAGTAATGCACAAACTTTAGCTGTGAAAATTGAGCTTTGTCCATAAATACTTTTTCCCAAAACATTTCGAACCAATCACTACTGCAGAAGATATCTGACTATCCACGTAGTGTGATTTTTGATACATTATTTAAGTAAACAATTAATAATTTATTGATTTCTTCATTTATTAATTGACTAATTATAAGAACCCTGTTTATATAATGTTTTGTATGAAAGTACTAGTGACAAAATTGTACACATTAATAGGAAAGTATCTTTTTGAATGGTATCATTTATCTACACTGGTAAACAAATTAATAAGCTGCATCTTATATTCAAGAATTCTTCTTGATAAACTTCTGGATGACTTTACTTTTGTTTTGTTTTTGTAGAATGTGGGACATCATAATAAACATTTTTATAATACCCCAAGATGTTATAGGGCACACATGTATCACTGTTTCAATATCCAACTTCAGCTTTGTGTGTAGTAGGACTACACAATGAATTGAAAAAAAAAAATGCATATTTTGTCAGTAAAAGCTGTCTCTAATCAATTTTAAATCTCTTTCAGATGAAGCAGTGTTCACTAAACAAAGCCAGTTTCTTAAAAGCTACTCCAAAAAAAATCAGCTGAAAGTGTTTGGCGTGTTGCTGTAATTAAAGATAATCATTCTGTGATTTTTTTTAACTGTTTGTGTTGCCTTTTAATGATTTATGGTTCTGTGTTGTTGCTACATGTAAAACATGTGAATACCACAATAAGTTTTAAAACATTTAATAAATACCACATTTAATAACTCACCTCATAACTTCAGTCGGATGATTGCAATACATCATTCAGTAAGATGATTTTTAGTTGTGTGATTGTCAGGTTAAAAATCTATAAAAGTACTCGCAATAAGAAATGTACTGTTAAATTAATTCTGTAATACTGTAAAAAAAAAGTTTTTCAATTGAATAAATGCATTTGACTGTTTTTGTATTTATTCTTTGATACTAGTTGGAAAAAAATATATAGGTAGAAAAATAATGAAATTATGTTAGCATTACTTAAAAGCACAAATTTCACTGAATATTAGTTACTTAAAATACTTTGTGGACAATTACAAAAAATAAGTACATTTTTACTTAAAAAAACAGGTTTGAAAAACTTAAAACTACAAGTTTAAAACTAATAAAATTGAGTTGATGTTCCTTAAAAGTGCAAGTTGAGAACATTCAAAGTCTATTAAGTAAGGACAAACTAAAATAAAATGTGTTTGAAATACTTAAAAGGCTATTGCAAATAGTTGCCTAAATTTTTGGGGGCTTTTGGAGCAGATTTACTGGTGATCACAGAGCCCAAAAATGCACAACAATTACAACTTTTGCTGAACTGCAATCTTATGTTCAATTAATCATGCAGCCATAGTGCGTATGAGATTTAACAGAACTGACTTAACTGGACAAAATGCGCATGAAAGTCACCTTTGAATAATCACCCAACCCTATTCTTTGTACCAAATAAAACATGGCAATAGGCTACAAACATTTCAGGCTCTAGCTCATTAAATGGGATCTGGGTGTGGTGAAAATTGCCAGTGATTGTAGACTTCAAGCTTTTAATTCCCCTATGGACTCTTAATCACCCCTTCCTGCCAACTAGAGAGCCTGTGTTTTTTTTTGTTTTTTTTTTACATAACCATTGACCAAAGCATCCGAAACACCTGATCCCACCTCAATATTTCCACTTCTACATTATCTGATTCAAGTTAAACCCAATGTAGTCACAAATCACCGGATCTCTTCATCCCACATTCCTTTATCTGGGTGATGGCAATTAAGATCAAAGGCAGATTAAAAAGAAATGACTTCAGACAGCCATTGAAAAGGTTCTGCTTTCATTTATAGACACCACATCGTACAATCTTACAAAGCGAACAAAAAAAGCACTGAAATTAGAATTATATTTTGAATCATCATGCACTGCACTCTTTGCATTGAGCTTTCACATCAAAATCATCATTTTGGAAATGACAAATCAGCATTCTGAAGCTGTTGAGTGATTATTTGGACTAACGGAAATGTTTTATGTTGGAGCGTATTATTGTGTGTCATGATGTTGTAAAAAAAATGTGCACAATAGCAATGAACAGCAGGCAAATAAACAATTGACAGTAACAATACAGAGAAGCCGCTTGACAAACTGCCCGCAAAAATACATTTCAGCATTTTGTCAAAATTTTTCCTTCAAATTCATGCTTTTTTTTTGGGATAAATCTGTTAATCATCCTCAGTCCTGATTTTGATTTTCTCAGACACATCAAGGTCAGTGCATAAAGGTCACTCTCACACACTCACAGACACACTTTATACTCCATATAAAGAGTATTCAGAAACTAACCTTTTATTGCACAGGCCTATCTAAAAGGTTAATGCTGATGATGACCAACAGTAAACATTACAAAATGTAACCCTTTCAACAAAACCACCAACAATCAAAAATGCATGATTATATGGTGTCATGGTTTTGTAATAAAAAAAAATGTGGTTATAATGGAAGTCAATGGGGCAAAAAAGCCACCAGCAGTAAATTAGGAAGAACAAAATGAAAATTAATCAAAAACAATGCAACAAGGGCAATGTTGTTTCACATGTCCAAGACTTCGATAAAAGATTTTTTATAAATCTAGTCAACAATTACTTTTTAAATTGAAAATACGCAATTTTGTGGGGTTTGTGAGGTAGATAAACAGATTTATGCAAAAAAAAATTAATTACAGCAGTTTAATTTAGTTTATGTTTGCATCCCCAACAAAACAAAAGGGTGGTCATTTTGTTTTTAATTCAAAGCCTTTTCTTGAAATATGTGTCATTCTGCTAGCTGAAACACAGCAAAAAAAAGTTATGGCCAAATTAATAATCAAAAATCAACCCAGCGGGGATAAAAACATCCCCAACAGTACATAAGGTTTAAATACATGGTTCAGAAAGTCATAACTCACAATATTCTGCAGAGCACAATTCAGTGTAGTAGCTACAAACATCTGCTAATTTGGTCATTTTTAACAAGCAAAAAAGCTTGATGTCTTAACTTTTAAGTGGTGACATTCATATTGTTTTAAAAAGTGTGAAAACTGATATGAAGTCAATCAAAAAATAAAGTCTCAGTTTCTGCGTTGTCATAGTTACTGTAATTTGTCTTTGTAGGGCAGTCAGGTCCAAGCTCAAACAATGCTTCCACTGTTTGAACCACTACACGATGGTTAGTTTTTTGTAACATTTCTGTAAAAAGTTTTAACAGGCTGTATTTCTCTGCATGGCTAGATACATGGTTGCCCGTTAAGCCAGGAGATAATTGCAGGGGTCCAGTAAATTGAAAAGGTTAATAGGATCGTTTGCACCTGGTGTCTGCTGCCAGGCTGGAAAACAGGATGTTGAGGGGAAAAAAGCCTTTTAACATCTTACAACACACTTCCCTTAATTAAGTTGTACTGTAAATGTCATAAACCTAAATTGCAAAACATTTTAGAAAAAAGGAAGTAGATATCTACAACAGGTAAAAAATAAAAAACTCCCTTCCAGTAATAAGGCACTAAATGTTGAGAACCTACCATTAATACAGCTAACAACAACAGGGTAACCTGAACTTCAAACTCAGAGAATTGTAAAACTACCAACGAAAGGGAATAGCAGGTTAGTAATTCCATGCTATGCTTATCCCATTTTTTAAAAATATGGTTTATTATACTTCAGACCACATTATACCATTAAGTAAAAATGGACAGAAAAAGGGGTCACATTATTATGTACTTGATAATAATTTGTTACAATTACTTATTGTGTAAATACATGTTTTTACATTGTACTTATTATTGAATAAGTGCCTGCATGTAATTACACTTGTAATTAATTTCTGTTAACCATGTTGACCTAAACTCAACCTTTAACTTATACCCGTACCGCCAAACCTGTCCCTAACTTCAAGAGCACGAGAAGTGTTCTGAAATACCATATGAACACAACAAATATATTGTACTTATTTTCCAATGTAAGTGCATAGTAGTTAAGGACCCTCAATATAGAGTGGGACCCAAAAATATGTATAAAAAACATTGCAACCTCAAACATCAACAGGGGATTATAAGCTTTAAAGAATAAACAGCTTTAAAATGCATATAATGTGTAAGTTTGTATGTAAATGTACACTGAATTACAGTGAAACATTACTTTTCCAATAATTTGATATTTTACTTTCACAAAAGTTATCCAAAATTTTAAAACAGACAGTTTATTTACTAAATTTGATGCATGGAACACAATCTTTTAGCTTCTGATGCAGTTGCCGGACAATCAAAAATATATACAGATTAATAATAAAAATGTGTTTAAATTGAAGCATTTGGCTTTACAAATACCCCCTGCTCAATGTGGAAAACTGTAAAAACCATAGGGATCCTGTAATTTAGAACACAGCTAGATGAACCAGTTATTATATTGTTACTACAAGATTAATAACGACTTTCAACAGTTGTGTTTAAACGCAATGACACAACAAAATGACAGCAAAAACAGCCTATGATGGGGTTTAGCCACATAGAAAACCAGAGCATTTTCACCAGGCATGGTTGGTGGGCGCCAAAACTGGCCCTTTAAGTGCTTTACGCAGAAGACCCCCACTTCAAAGGGCTCTTCTCTGTTTACACACATGAAAATCCACAAACACTGCGGTAGCTAAAGGCGAAGTAACTTACAGAACTGCTGTATGTGTATCAAAGCACCTCTGACAGGGCTATCAGTATCCCACCTTTTTATTTTGTAAGCAATTTGCTCATTGATCTGTTCTGCTTTTGTATTTTGATTGTTGCTCGAGGCATGAAGACCACCCGTGCGGAACACAGGCATGAGTCACAACGCTTTAGAACCAAAAAAAGCCACTTCTATACATACAAATACTGACGTTTATCATCTTTGTCTCCTTTGGGAAAGCGTTAAAGTAAACCGGTGACATTACAACTCACCCTTATTCGCCTCATGGCCGCAACAATCTCCACACGGCTATTCGGTCGAGCCACATCCAGACTACCAATATACTGGAAATCAAAGCAAACGGTATGCATTAATCTCCTGTCGACAACTTTGGCTTAGTGAAGCTTAAGGTGTTTCAAACAGACAGTACGGATTGTAAACAAGTAAGAAACAATAGCAAAACAACTTTAAATGTGTCCTGGTACTAAAACAGCGCATGCAGCAGAATGTAAATAAACAGTGGTGAAAAATAAATTCACGTTACCTTTGCTTCAAAATTAATGCCATGCTGGAAGGCTTCCTCGTTATGTAAAGGAATCCGTAAATCGTGTCCATCATCGACTAAATTGTACTTTGTTTTTGCAGGCATGGTGTCTGTTTTAGGTCTTTCTCCTCGGTTAAAAAACACAAACAGCTCGGGGGGAGCCAGAACTCAGTCTAACTCTTGCGGTCCATGTCTTGTTTTAGCCCGAGGTAACTCTTGGTTTCCCAGGCGTGCTTGCTTTTGACAGAGCAACTTTTGTAGAAATCACTATTTTCAACCCGACGTCGCCGAAGTGAATTCCACTAGGTGTTGCGTTTGATCAAATGTGAACGATCTGCCCACTCTTTCCCATTCAAGAGGGCAGCCCTAAGCTTTAGCTGGTGTGGCAGTGCCAGAATCCTGCTTCCTGGGCTTGTCCGTTTCCAACAACTTCACGCCAGCGCCATAACCTAGCCCACACATCCTTTTTCGAAAGGATTGTTGCGAGGGCAGAGCGCCATTGGCTGAAAGGGGGAATTCCACCTGCTTTCATTGGAACACGGCTTCATCACAGGTTTGGAGGAGGAGAAAGACACCTCGCGAACGTTCAACACCCAACAGTGGCGTGCAGGAAGAGCGGAGAATGACACCTAGTGGCAGAGAGCGGTTCTATGTGGATACAAGCTGAGGCAAGTTGGCAGTTCATTTTATACTTTTTACCACATGTTGCTTCTTAAAGGTAATTTAAAAGTTGCATAAATTAAGCTTTCTCTGAAGGGAATTAATAAACATCGCGAAAGGGAAGAAGGGAGAAGGAAAAAAATGTTCACTGATTGTTGATGGCTAGGTGTCATATAATTATTATTATTATTATTATTATTATTATTATTATTATTATTATTATTATTATTATTATTATTATTCATTTTTTATTTGGCTTAGTCTCTTTATTCATGAGGGGTTGCTAAAGTGGAATGAACCGCCAAATTATCCTGCTTATGTTTTACACAGCGGACGCCCTTCCAGCTGCAACTCAGTACTGTTAAATTAATATTATTATTATTATTATTATTATTATTATTATTATTATTATTATTATTATTATTATTACTATTATTATTATTATTATTATTATTATTATTGTTATTATTATTATTATTATTATTATTATTGCCTGTATTATTATTGGCATCAATATTTTCATCACATAATATTACCTTTATCATCACTATTAATTTGTTGCTATAATTATTATTATAATGTAATATCAACATTATGACTATGAATGCTACATACTATATAAATCATTGTTACTCTGATCATTGCTATTTCAATTTATGTTTAATTTCCTTTTGTGTTCTGTGTTTACAGTATTTTGTATGTTTTGAGGTCTTTATAATAAAATATAAATGAAAGAAAAAACAATTCATTTTCAGTTTAATTATGGCTTGTTTCAAACTTTTATTGTTTCCTCAACTTAAATATTTTCAGTTTATGTTAGGCTATATTATGGTCAAACTAAAACTTTTCATTTTAATCTGTTCATACAGGCTAACCATTATTCAAATATATACATTTTGTTTGAGTGCTTTGATACCATATAAATTAATTAATTAATTATATTTTAAAATAACTAAATACATTTTGCTCTTTAAAATAAAGGTCCTGTATTGGTGCTTATGGTTCCATAAAGAATCTTTCTCATCCAATGGGGAATATGCACACAGACTTTTAATTTCAGAAAGCCAGCCTCAGGGCTTCTGGTTAATTGTCATCCTATACAAAATCGCTGCGTTTAAGGTCTGATGTCTTTAAAACACTGTGATCTTAAGTGGATAAAGTGGGTATCAGACCTAACAAGAAACACTGCATTAAATTTTTCCTATTTTTCTACAGCATGTCTTTAAAATATGAAAATTTATTTTACTCCTGTATTTTCAATGGGTTTTCTGTGCTAGCCTGCTGCTAATGACAACACCTGCGTTTAAACAGCCTTTCATATCTTTTAACGGTTAACAACCAAAATGGATGCTTAAGTCTATTTAACTGATTATATTTGAATTACATTACAGCATTTATGCTGTAAAAGAAACCTTATGAAATTGATAATAGTCACATAAAGCTTTCAAGCTTTTTACCGGAAGTTCATCATTGGCTGAAACACTCTATCTGTGCATAAAGCCCATTGAACATTTACATTGAACAAAAGGCTCTTTAGTTTAAAAATGTAACAGAGTGTTCTTTCACGTATTGCTAGGTTACATATTTTAACACTATAGATTACAATACATATTAATACATATTAATTAAACTTTTCCTTGAGAAGATCATGTCAGGCAAAACTTTCCACTATGCTAAATCTGAAATTACAAATAACTTGGTATCAAAACAAAATATGCTACGGGCATCATGATGGTGCAATGGGTAGCCAGATCACCTCACAGCAAGAAGGTTCGAGCCTTGGCTGGGTCAGTTGGCATTTCTGTATGGAGTTTGCATGTTCTCCCCATGTTCATGTGGATTTCCTTCGGGTACTCCGATTTCCCCCACCAGTCAAAAGACGGGTGAATAAGCTAGATTGGCCATAGTGTTTGTGTGTGAATGAGTGTGTATGGATGTTTCCCAGTGATAGGTTGCAGCCGGAAGGGCATCCTCTGTGTAAAACATATGGTGAATAAGTTGCCGGTTCCTTCCACTGTGGTGACCCCAGATTGATAAAGAGACTAAGCTGAAAAGAAAATGAATGAATGAATGAATGAATTAATTAATTAATTAATTAATTAATGAACGAAAAATGCTGTTTTTTTTTTCTCCAAAGATGAAAATATGTATTGTGTAAATTAGTTACAACTGACTTTTATCAATATATGGATGCTTTCCATGTTGGTTAGAAGCACTGCAATCATTAAATTGTAAACATTTCAACAGTTTATTTTAAAATATTTTAAAAGTATTGAAAATCAAAATAAAGCCATGTGAGCACTTTTATAACACTCTACTGTCTCCCATTATGTGTTAAAAACTTCTATAAACACTCTTGACGCCTACTTAAACACTTAAGTGTTTAACTGGAAATGCAACATGACTACAAACAAGTGGTCAAGTGTAAACAAGTCAAGTTTGTAAATACATGGACAGCCCAATTCTTGCACCTGTAATTCTTTGAAATTCTTTTGCTATATTTTTATGTATTTCTTTATACAAAGGGATGCCAGTAAGCTTATTGAAACTAATAAGTTTTATATGTGAAACACTATGCTATTTCATAATCAGAATACATTACAAGTTAAGCCATTTTTGTGTTTTACCCATAACATGGCCTTTCTGTTTTCTTGTCATTATATATTGTCTTATCTCCTAAAATTAGCATTTTTCCCAAGCTCCTATGGATAAATTGAGTTTCCCTTTTATATTGATTAATATGTTATTTTCATTGCCTTTAATGTGAAATAAGTGAACATAAATAAAAGGAGTCTCAGAAAAATTGTCATTTTAGAAGAAAATTTTAGATGGCACTTTTTGTGGTTTTTGCATCTGAAATCTTCATATATTTACACAAGAACCACTACTACTGGACATTTCTGTAGACCTATACATAAAATTACAATTATACATTATGAATTGCATTATGAATTATTAGGGCGACACTGTAGCTCAGTGGTTAGCACTGTCACCTCACAGCAAGAAGGTCGCTGGTTCAAGTCTCGGATGTGACAGTAAGCATTTCTGTGTGGAATTTACATGTTCTCCCTGTGCTCACGTGGGTTTTCTCCGGGTGCTCCGGTTTCCCCCACAGTCCAAAGACATGCGCTATAGGTGAATTAAATAAACTAAATAGGTCACGTATGTGGATGAGTGTGAATGAATGTTTCCCAGAATTAGGTTGCAGCTGGAAGGGCATCTGCTGCAAAAAAAAAAAAAAAATGAAAACATATGCTGGATAAGTTGGCGGTTCATTTCGCTGTGGTGACCTGTAATAAATAAAGGGAATAAGCCGAAGAAAAATGATTGGATGAATGGTTTCAATGTTGTTGTTATTATTATTATTATTTTGCAAGATATAATTTTAAAGCATAAAAATGGAATAATACTGCCAGCAAATATTATAGTAATATAAATATAAATTGATTAGACTATAAATCTCCAAACACTAACTATTACAGAAGCGTCCTCTACAAGACAAATTAACCCCAAAGTTTTGAAAAGAACTTTGAATATGCTCTTACTAACATACTACTGATGCAGTGTAAATTTAGCTATTAAAGCAAAGTGGAAGTACTGGAGTCTCTTGTGGTTCTCAAACTCATAAGTGGATTGTAACAGGAGTTGCCCTTCAGATGGTAACCATGCATTATGTGCCCCTCTGGCATTGTCAGCTCTAAACACTGAACAACTGCTAACAGATGGGGAGACATGGCAAAAGAAACTGTATATAATGGTAATGTTCCAACTCGGATCCAATAGTAATCCATTTTATGAAGCCAATCCAGTGACCTTGAAAAGTCTGAAAGCTGATGATAGATAAAGTCTGCTCTTTATTCAGATTGGCCAACTGTTTCATTCTGCTTTCATCTGTTCTTATTTGAGTGTTTTTCACAGTTTTTTATGGTAAAATAATCATGATACTAATTGGATTTTTTTGTTGTTTAAATTTTTTTTTTTAAATACAAATACACTAAATATATGTATGTAATTATTTTTTTTTTTTGTAAATCAAATTAAAAGAACAATGGCTATATATAGAAAGGCAACTGTAACTCAAATAACCGCTTGTTACAACCGATGTATGCAGGGCCGGAGCAAGCTGAACTGCCGCTCTAGGCAAAGGACGGTCACGCCGCCCTCAAACCTAAAGTGAAACCGGGGGGTGGGGGCAGGGGGGTGGCGGGTCTATTCTGCTGCCCTAGACGCGGCTATAACTGAGGCGCGGGTGGCGAGGGTAGTTTAGGGGACACCACCCTCTCTATTCTGCCTCGCTAGACGCGGATATAACTGAAGCGCGGGTGGCGAGGGTAGTTTCGGGGACGCCGCTCTCTATATTCTGCCACCCTAGACGCAGTTATAATTGTGGGCGTGGGTGGCGAGGATAGTTTCGGGGACTCCGCTCTCTCGATTCTGCCACCCTAGACGCGGATGAGGGCGCGGGTGGCAAGGGTAGTTTTAGGGACGCCGCCCTCTCTATTCTGCCGCCCTAGGTCGCCTCTATGGAAGCGCCGGCCCTGGATGTATGCAGAAGAGCATCTTTGAACACACAACACATCCAACCTTGAGGCAGATGGGCTACAGCAGTAGACACACCGGCTGCCACTTCTGTCACCTAAGAACTGGAAACAGGCATAATTTGCACAGGCTTACCAAAGTTGAACAATAGAAGATTGGAAAATGTTGTCTGGTCTAATAAGTCTTGATTTCTGCTGCAACATTCGGATGGTAGGGTCAGAATTTGGCATCAGCAATATGAATGCATGGATCCATCCTGCCTTGTATCAATAGTTCAGGCTGCTGCTGGTGGTGTAATGGTGTGGGGGATATTTTCTTGGCACACTTTGAGCCCATTAGTACAAATTGAGCTGACCATGTCTATCCCTTTATGATCACAGTGTAGCCATCTTCTGATAGCTACT